TTTCCCTTTTTTACAAAATAACCTCATAAATCCTTTTTGCATTGTTTCTAAACGTTTTTGTAAGCAATTGATTTTGCTAATTATAAGAAAATAGCTTTTATCAAGCCTATAGCGCAGTTGTACTCTGCCTATTACCTAAATACACTGCCTCATGAGAATGCCCTCATATGGAGCTCTGATCAGGATTGCAACGTAACCTGTTAAAAATAGTAAACATTTATTCGAAAATTATTTAAAATTATATTTTACGGCAAGCATAGCAACATTATCCAGTTGGAACATGAAGAAGGGTCTTTAATATACAGTGAGTGTGAAAAAATATACACCGAAGAGCCATTTTATTATAACTCCCTGCTAATAACATGTAGGACCACCTTTAGCCCTCAAAACTGAATCAATGCCACCCGCCGTGGCATTGATTCCACAAGGTGCTGATAGGTAGTCTGAGGTATCTGGTGCCAAGCTCTCACCAACTGGTCCTGCAATTCCCTCGCATTGCGAGGGGGTAACGTGGCAGCACGAATTTGGTTTTCCAAGTAGGGCCACAAATGCTCTTTTGGATTAAGGTCAGGTGAATTTGGGTGCCAAGACATGACTTGAAAGTCACTGGGATGTTCCTCGAACCAATCCATGACGATTCGACCCTTATGAAATGGTGTATTATTCTGTTGGTAAACACCATCCCCTGCAGGAAAAACTGTTGCTATGAATGGGTGAACCTGGTCTGCAACTATGTTCAAGTAGCTTACAGACGTCAGGGATTGTTCTATGAGGATTATGGGTCCTAATGTGCCCCATGAAAACATTGTTCCTGGGCGAAAAACCATGAAAACCTAGGCGAGCCCATTGTTGTAGATGGAGAGTGGTCATAATGTAATGGCTCATCGGTGTATGTATTGTTCACGCATCTGTAGCTTCCATCGAACATCATATCAGTTCTTATTGCTCGGCTCGTCTAAATCAAAATCTCGACTCGTCAGAATCACTACCAACTTGCCATATCAAAGCAGAACCACTACCTACTTGTCTCTTCTAGAATGTCTCCTTTTTTATGCAGATTAGATCTTTCCAATAACATTGGATCACATAGAAGAATATCCAGAACATCATGTCTTATGAGAATTCTAATCGCTTTTTTTTCTCCTTATTAGTCTGCTTAGCACTGTCCTCTTTTAGTAACTTAAATTTCCTATATTCTTTCCCTGAAGTTCACGCAAATGAACATTTTTCCTGCCATAAAACGCAAAAGAATTTACAGCATAAATAACACGATTTATATGAAAGTTCAGCTATTGCTCGATTTAATTTCACACGTTTCTTCAATGCATTAATTTCCAATGGTTCAACCAGCGAAACACTGCAATGAGAACCTATTTTGCCTGATTACAACGTAATGCTAAAACCTCTTCAAATACCACAACAACAGCTAGCTTAATCCTGCATGGAGACCAAACTACCCTAGTCAAAAATTTTAATGGTTTTCCATTGATGGGCCAACATGATATTGATGGTAACCATCAATAATTCCCTCACGAACCATTATATTTTTGATGGCAACCAACATAAGTTACCATCACCCCAATCTAGGAATTCGGACTGATTTATGATGGTCCAACATAAAAATAGCAACTTGTTTTGATGGTTTGTTCATGTTGAACCATCAAAACATTTCATCACAGTTTCTTAGAAATCAAATGTTGGAATGATCATGAACCACCATCACCCCAATGTAGAAATTCGGACTGATTAATAATGAGCCAACATAAAAAAAATGCTTTTGAAGGTATATTCCTGCTAAACCAACAAGAATTTCCATTAAACCATCATGGAAACGCATTGTTGTACCATTATGAACCATCACAAATTTCCATAGTATACTAGAAATCAAATGTTAGAACGACCATGAACAACTATTATCACAAAATAGGAATATTTGAACTGATTTATGATAGGCCAAAATAAAAAAATAAGCTAAATTGTTTTAATGGTATATTCCTGAGAACCATCAATAATTTCAAATACAAAATATATAGTTGGAATTATCATGGATTATTGGGTCATAAGAATCAAACATCTCTTGATGGTTAATCACCATAGTATTAAAATAGCATTGGTGGTAGTTTGTTGGCATATCAAGCACCATTAAAGAATAATGGAAAATGTTCGATGACGGTGACAATTAAATGATGTTGAACTATCATGAATCGCACTGAAACCAACATAAACCCTCAAAATGTTTTGATGGGACCATCAAGAATTTTGACTTTGGTATATTAATGGTAGAAATTGTGAAAATATAAGCAAATATTTATAAAAGTGGATCTTGTTAAAATGGTTTTGAATTGAAAATTTGTGAAAACAAAAGTAAGTTATATATTTTTCACAAATTGCATCCTAATAATTAAATGCTTGTTGTTTAATTCTTATCCCAAAAAGTCATTCTCAGATATTCAATTAAGAAAGAAAATTTTGAAAAAGGCGGGTAGACCTTTCATTTTGAAACACTGATCAGTGACCAAAATATTTAACGGAACAGCTGCATAACGTTTGCTTTAACGATTGAATTTTCATTCACTAATATGCAATCTTTGACTTAAGGGACCAACTTTAAATATGCGAAATCATTTGTTCAGACGGTATTCGCTATCGCAACGCTTGAGTACGCCCTCTAGCGGAGTCTGAAAATATCAGGCATTTATTTATTAAGTTTTCATTTAGTTCTCTCACAATCATTGGTAGAGTCAGATGCCATTTTCTTAGCAGCAAAAAAGTAGCAAAATTTCCTTAAGGAAAAGGCAGAAGAACTTGAAAAAACTGTCCAGAACATTGGTAAATCTTTCAGAAAAAGAGCACGCCAAACATTTGAGGAAAAATTTCTCAATGATTATTAACTTCTAGTATCAACAAACTTGCAACTGATAACTTCCGATTTCGGGATCGCATACTGTTACAGATGTGTGTAATACGGTAAAATAATTTTTTTCTTCTTCAATTCATTACAAATTAAATTAAGTGAAGTCAACATTGGTTTCTTCATTCCAATGAATAAATGTGAATTCAGAACGTACAGAGCTGTAATAGTTATAGAATATTTTTCTTCTTTATAGAATAGTATATTTTTGTATCTATATAATTCGGAAACAACAATAAAGAAAGAATTATCCGAATTACTTGAAATAGTATCATTTGTGCTGATGATTAATAAATTTTTTGAATTTTCTTGATAAGTATTTTTTACTTTCGAAAGAATAATTTCAACTAGAATTCAGCTATTCTTTTTTTAAGCTACATATCAAAATTCATATCGTGATCTTACAATTATAAAATTTTACTTTGTGGTATGTTATCTAAAAGTAATGATCTATGTATATATTATTGGAAAATAAAATTTTCAAACGAAGAGCATTTCATTAGGAATTCTCCGGATTTATAAAGCAAGAAAGTGTTAGGATTTTTATAATAAAAAATTTGCTGGTAAATAAATTTTTTTCTGTTTTGATGATAGTTCTCTACAGAATGGTTTTTTACGTCTGATTAAAAACTATAAGAATAAAAAAAAGAAACAACATGAAAATTTTTTATTTCAATATGAGGAGTTTTTAGAATCGTTTTTTTATCCTAAGAATTTTTTATTTTACGTTCTTTAGTTTATAATTTTTTGATAAAAATTGTTGTCGAAAAAAATTTTTTGCAGAAGTAAATGATATTAAATTATGGGCTTATGTATACTTTTTGCATATTTTAATGTCTGAAGTAATATGATACATAAAACTATGGAACGCAAAGTTTAAATAAGCCTTTCATGTTATGTCATTAAATTTAGTAAAACTATTTCGCAAGCATAAAGTTTTAACTCTAATAGGAAGATACATATTTTTTTTCTGTTTATTTACAAATATTTTTCCGATGTGTTTTGGATGTTCCTTCTCTAAAAAAAGAGATACCATTTTGTTTTCACTTGCATAATAAAGAATATCAAACATTTTTCTTTTTTAAATTTAATAAGCCACAGCAAGGAAGGAACGTTACAATGCTGCACGCTACATTAAAGACGTCTCCAGAGCAACTGAATGACTGTTCATATAGAAATCGCAGGTATTCATCTCATACAACAACGTCTCCTATAGTTCATTGCGATTGCGAATTTAAAATTGCGAAGGCAGAAATAAAATTGTATGAATTTTGAAAAGGTAAGATGTTTAAAATTTCATTTTTCAGGTATTATTAAACCGATTTCGTTTGAATTTTGGGTATTAGAGAGATACTCTTATAAATGATCAAAAAATTGGAAAAAACATTGAAATTCAATTTTTTTTTCAATTGTTATAAATTAAAACCATAAAATTAATAAATTATTATTAAAATTATGTTTTGCCCGGAATTATCCTTGGATAAGCAAATTTTATAATTGCGTCAAAAAAAATTCTATGCTCTTTAAAAGTTCTCGAGATATGGTGAAATACGCAAAGAGTATTATAAATATTAAGGAGTCTTAACTTTCTAGCACTCTTTTGACCGAACTAATGTTACCATATTCCCCGATTGGGGATACTTCTTATATTTCGGGGGTAAGAAATCAAAATCCGTCGAAAAAGAAGATATGTTTATTTAGAGGAAGTACGCTTTCGTGTCTGATTTCGTAACTTAAAATATCGTGTTCACTAATTAATTTGCATATTTGAGGTAACCCCCTCAAACCATTAACAATGAGTCTTTATAGGTGAAATTCCAATCAACTATTGATTTAACACTGTACTCTTACTTCCTCACAAGTGAAAACCTATAACTACTGCAACCCCTCTTACTTTTTCCTCAAGTTTCCACTAGATGGCACGTTTACACAAGCAGCTTGAAGAAACCGATGTGATATCCACCATTTGATAACCAATGAAATTGCTACTTTAAGATTGCAACGCCGTTAAAGTGATGTCAGTAGAAATATTTCTTAAAGTAATTTTTATACAATTGAAAAGCAAGCCAGTCTTAAAATAAAATAAGTTGCAAAACATCAATCTATCAAGAGTGTCATAAAAACAATTGTGATCACGTATTTATTTGTATAATATTAAAGGGATTAAAAGTTACCTGCACTAACGACTGAACTATTTATGTAAAATAAAATCATTTTTGTTGGCTTCCCTAATTTTTAATGTATCAGATTGTCAATACTATTTGCCAACTGTAGTTTCTAAGATTATGTAGTGTGTTTGAAATCTGATTTTTATATTGTTTTATTTCACTTTTTTGTGAAACCAGATCAATTTAAATAGGATAATATGACGCCAATGAACTCAGAAGGAGAATATCTAATTGTTAATAACATCCCTAAAACTTATCATGCATCTCATCTTCGAAATTTTTACTCTAGTTTTGTTGAAAGTGGGGGCTTTTTGTGTTTTCATTTCCGCCACCGTCCTGAAGTACAAAAGCCATCAAATGACTCCAATACGACTGACCCAGATCGGTCAAGGAGAATTACAAACTGCTGTATCATTAAAGTTTTATCTGAACGTGTGGATGAATTCATTAAACAATATAATGGTGAACATTGGTTAGATGATAAAGGAGAAACCTTAATGACTTGTTGTTTTATCAAGAAAGTAGTGTTTTCTAAAAATACTGAATCTACAGTTACTTCAAGTAAAATAATTTGTTATTTAATTTATTATATAATATAATGTTTTTGGTACGTATCCTTTTTGGAGAGCTGTAGAAAACCTATTACCTCAGTACCTATATGAGGTACCTGTTACTGCAAACTGAAACATCACTGGTGTCAAACAATTTCGCTATTTTTATGACCCAACCTCTTACCAAAAGGGATAAATACCAATATTTTTTAACACTCTGTAGTTTTTGTAAAATTTTCTTAAATAGTTTTTAAATTATGATTGAAAAACGTGATACTGAATGCTCAATTTAATATGTAAATGTCTTAGTTAACATGACATGCTAAGTTTACTGTGTTTAATGGGAATTAAAAAGTGGATATATTTCCGTATCATGATCTGCCGCGCCAACTATAAACGCCGAAGTGCCAAACAGATTTTAAACTTAAAATTTTTTTTAGAAAAATATGCATGTAGATGTTTGCCCAGGAGTGGTTACGAGTTATACCTTTCGAGTTTTGTCCCTTCTGTGATTTTTTTTTTTTTTTTTTAGTTTCTCGCGAGCCATTGCCCAGAAGTGGCTAAGACTTGGCGAATATTTTGCTACAAATCATGATGTGGAAATCTCTCCTAGTAGGTTGTGTCCTACATATTTTTTTTTCATAAGTTCTAAATCTAATTACGTCTGTATGATGAATATAGGAATTTATAATTTTTATTTTGTTCTCTAAATTTCCTAGAAATTAAGAAGGGTTAGAGAGTTGTATCTAAAATAAAGGTAATTTTAATTTTGAAGGGCACGGTTTTAACTATCCATATTCCAATCAATACTATTATTTTTGGGTGTGAGTGATGTTATTAATTAAGTAACCACAACTAGTTAGTAATTGTAAGTAACCACGATTATTTAAGCATCATTGGACTGGTGTGAACAATAGTTACATGATGTATTTCATGACAAATTTCCTTTTTTTTAAAAAAAGAAAAAAGAGCCTACTAGTCTCATAAGAATTATTTTTAAAAAAATTTAAAAATGCTAGATTATATTCATTTAAATAAATAACCTGCTAGAAGTAGAACTATCAGTGAATCAGATTATATGTAAGTAGTGAGTATTTCTTTATATTTGAGAGTTTTTTAATAAAAGTATTATATTCTAATTAAGTACAATCAACATGAATTATTTGACTGATTTTTTTAAAAGGCGTTAAATTTAGTATTAAAAGGCATTACTTAAAAAAATCATTAAGTAAATTAAACAGGTTGTTGTACCCTTGGTAAGGTTTTGAAGGTTAGCCTAATCACTAATAGAGTTAAAAACTACGAGCAGCAGTTTACTATTTTTTTAATATGTTTATAAAATCACATGTTAATAAAATTATGTAATATATTATAGACATAAAGAATTGACATAAGTTTATTTGTTTGGGGTTTATTAATTGCATTAATAAGTTTTTAAAACAACATATTAACTTTTTATTTGAAAAACTAATCGTAGTCTAAATAACATGCATGCTCCTTAATGAACAAAATGCATAAATTCATTGAATCGGTACAAAACCTAATTTTTTTAAAAATGCCAAGAAGGTATGAAAATATTGGCAGAAAAATTAACCAGATTTGATTTGTTGCAAATTTTATTAGGTATAGAGCCATAGTACAAAGAGTAATTTTTGTTATAAATAAGCTGTACTATTAACATAATGATTTAATAGCTTGTTTATTCATAAAAAATAAATAAATAAAAATTTGCTTGTATTTAGAATACAAAAAGAAAACTTTTTTAAAATAATTATTAAAATTTAAATGTTTTGTAATTGCCAAAAATAAAATATTATGAGTTTATTTAAGCTCTAGATTTCAGTCTGTATTGTTTAAAAGACACTTTCAATCTAGTTGCAATTAATAAAGAAACTTTTCTTTTGATTCAGCCTAATAATGTAGGTATTAATTTTATAATAATGTAGGCCTAATAATGTTGGTAATGTAAGATTTTTGATTAACAGAGAATTTTAATTTGTATAGAAATCTCATCAAACCAAATCTTATGTCATTTATGTTTCACATTTTATTTGCTGATTGACTGCACTAATATACTATCTCATAATTTAACCCTAGATAGAGAAGCAATCAATACATTGAATCCTGATTTTGGCCAGTTATCTTAAATAAAAGCTAAAGAGTATTTCCCTTTGGTTTCACTAATTTCTTTGCATAAAGGATACATAAAAATGTTATTTTCGATTTGTAGTTTGCGATTCAAATTATTAGCTATAAAGTAATATAGATTTAAGTTAAGTAAAATAGGATTTAATACTATTAAAGTTTTAATAAGCCTTTTTTTATTTTATTTTCAACAAAAGTGTTAATATTCGTGCTAAACATATATGCAATTTCTTTTGTAAATATAAATATTAAGAAAGTTTAAAATAGATTAAAGTTAACAATGCGATTTTTTTTAGGCTCTGCATTTAGTAAACAAGGAACTGTAGCATCAAATTTGCCATTAGAAAAAGAGACTATTACCGTGGAAGATGTTGAATCCCTCATTGAAATGCATCCACCAAAGTGCATGCCTCATGGAAATGTTGGAACCAAGACTAGTCATTTTTTAAAAGAGATTCAAGCTTGTAGACTACCACCATCATTAATTGCTAAGTTAGACTTGCAGTTTCCCCGAAACCGCTCCAAAAGAATATATGGCAATGTCCCTTATGAATACAAAAAGAGAAAACAATTTTACGAAAGAAAGTCAACTGTTCCTGCAAAGGAAGAATTAAAAACAGAAAATAGCCATAAACGTTCTTGGTGTAATCGTGCACCTGTGGAAAGTCCGTGGCAAAATGACAGTAATTCAGAGGTGATTATAACATTATTTTTCTATAACATCCATCTCTCTTTTTATATGCTGTATACTCTTGATATCTTGAATGTCTTGAATGTCTATTTTTGTCTCAAAAACCTTGTGTCAAAAAAAAATTCCCCTTGGCATTATCTATCTACATAATGTTCATTTGAATTCCTGTGTTGAAGGGTTTTTTCTCATAACCTTGTTATATAGAATTTTTTTTCGAAAAAGAAAGTGAATTTTTTTCGGAAAAATCGCAATATAAGTTTATAGTAAACCAATTCTTTTCTATGTAATGCATAATTATTTTTGTCTTACTTTAAAAGATAAAATTATAATTGTTATTATATTTAGACTTATTATCAACTATCATTAAATACATTTTTTGCAGTAGTTATTCTCATGATTCTACTTCTTAGAGTAATATTTTAGAATATATTTTTCTACTTTTTGGAACATTTCTAGTTCTGAACTTGCTATCTCGAAATTCTTTTAGCGTCCCTTCAACTTCGAGATTTCAAGTAATTACTGTGTGTGTGTATTTATATATATACTGTAAAAAGTTCATTACGTTGACAATTTGTAATATCGGATGAAACTGACATTATAGTCAACTTATCGGTATAAGCAGGTATACATATTAATTTTAAAATTGTATTAAAATGACTGAAAAATAAAAAAGCATATTTACTTTTTTTAAACAACTGTTTTGATTTAAAATATACATCAAGAGTAGACTGCTTTTGCTTTCAGAGTGGAGCCTGAATTATGTAGCTCTGTAGTTTATAAAGGCAAAAATGTCTATGGCAGGAATGGATGATTGACAAGTTTTTGCATTGCAATGTGATCAATAATAGATACATACTGTAATTCATTTTAGGGTTTCTAAAAATACAAGAACTTTTCTTTCGTTAGTTATTTAGTCTGTGGTTGTCCGCACATTGTTTTATAAAAATGAGGGGTCAAAATCGAAATGTAGGAAACGCTATTAGTTTTTTTTTTTTTTTTTTTACTTTTCTACATTAATACCAGAAACAAATAAAAGTATTTTCCTTTTAAACCTTTTTTGTATTATATTGCTCACTTTAATAGTAGAGGAAGTATTTTCCTAAAAATTTAAAAGCCAAATTACTATTCATTTTAATAAAGGATATTTTAATAGCATCTTTATCTAGTTTTATGATTGCATGCACAGCAGAATTTGAACAAAAAAATGTCTAGAAATTATACATCACATGATTTGATATGGATTATAACCATATGTAGTGTGTAAAAAAGTGTGCACTTATCCTTTTAAAATAAAAATATAACCATGTTTCATGGTACTTTGGCTCCCTGTATATAATTTCTAAATAATTAAATTACTTTAGTCTTTATTTAAATTAAATTTTAAAAAAAATTCTTTGAATCTCGTTATTCTGCAGAAACATTTCTAAATTAATAATAATTAAAATTTTATAGATTAGCATGAACAATCTCGTTTCATTTGATACTTCAGCAAATGAAATACAGGTGGCAGGAGTAGTACTGTCATACATTTATCTCAATATTAGGAATCTGCTGATTTTATTCTGAGTGCCTCAATTTTTCTTGAATAATTTCTGTATAACTAACTATTTTTGAATTTTTATTAGGAATCAGAGTCAGAAGAAGAAGAATGGGATCGTCATGAAGCCTTACACGAGGATGTCACTGGTCAAGAACGGAACAAGGAACGCCTTTTTGAAGAAAAAATAGAGCTTAAGTGGGAGAAAGGTGGATCTGGTTTAGTATTTTATACAGATGCCCAGTATTGGGATGAGAAAGAAGGTGATTTTGATGCTAAAACTTCAGATGATTGGGATATAGATACAAGAGTTTATACAAATCCAGGTATTTTATTAACATTTATAGCTTTTAATTTATTGTTATTTTACAAAAATGTAAGTTTTTAAATTAATTATTTTTTGATAAAGTAAACAAAAGATATGTGTGTTAAAAATAAGCATGGTCTCTTTTTCTTGTCAGGCTAACAAAAAAAAATGCTATTCTTTATTTAAACTTGAGAAAATTAAATGAAGGTAGTAAAATGCCTAGATTTTATTCGCAATGGCAATGAGTTTAGTTTCTTCCATATATTGTGGGGGAAAATAGCTTCTGTTAAACGTAAGATGATTTAAAAATATTTTAATCATAAATATTTTAATAATAATTAATAAAATTACGGTACATTAAATGAAAAAAATTTTTAACTGTCAATGTTCAACTTTTAATCATTCACTACTTACAAATGTAATTTGTGCGCAAGATCTATCTCAGTACAATTTCTCAAGCTTTTCAATACCTGGTGAGAAATTTTTTCTCATTACCAAAGCTAAACAGAAGAGTAAAAAAGTGGTTTTAGTGTTCTTACTTTTAAGAATCTATCTTGGTATCCAAAAAATTTTGAACCCGAAAAATACTAATCTACGAATACTAAAATACGAATCTACATCAAGCAACAATTTATGCAAATATTGTTAATATTAACCAAAGTAATCAATACAAGCTCTGGCATACGATGTCTACAGATAATTGTTTTTGTTCATAATTTATTACCACTCTCTCAAACTCGTGAAAGTTTTAAACTTTGCTGATATGTATGAGAAATTACATGACCTAAACTCCTCCCAAGTTACGAAATAATCTAAATATTTCTTGCAAAATTTTTTTTAAAAAATTCCATTATTGTAGGGTTGTATATTATTACATTTATTTATTCGCTAAAAGCAAACTTAGTACGAGAGTAATACACATAGATCTTATTTTTCTACTGTTAACTTTAAATTTTATTCATTGCGCTTTTAATGATTTTAAATAAATATCAATATAATTCTTTATTTCTAATTTTGCATTTATAAAACTATCATATTAATTTTGTTAAAACAGTTTTCAGCATTGATTTCAGAACTTGCATGTCTTTCTCTTAAGTGTAAACCTCTCTTTAGCAAACATATTTTTCTGTCCTAAAGGTGTCCACTTTACAAAGGTTTCTCTGAATTTTCTGCACAAAAGTAAAATATGTTGTACCCTAAGCAAATTATTTGAGCTCGATTGTTAAGCTGGTGGAGTTAACAGGTTTCTAAAACTACAATAATTTTTTATAAAAAAGCTATTATGATTCTGAATAATATTCTGTTGAACATAAATGAGTCTTACCCGGCACTAGATACCTGGTGAAATTTGCCTGGCCCGGGTAGTGAAATAGAGCTCCCACGGTTCAGGGAGCCTTGGCATTGTGAAGAAATATTTTTTTAGCTCTGAAAAGCAGTGAATAGTCAGGAAAAGTTGCAATTTTTTACCAAAAAAAGAAGAAGAAAAAACATGGAAAATTCCTATATTACACTTGGAAAATAACCGGTCTTAAAATTGTCAGTAACAATAATCAGTTATTGAGTTTAGAGTTAAATAGTTCTAACATCTAATTGCAATTATTTTATAAAATTCCACTTTTTAGTGAAACTTTTCCATGTTTCCATTCTCATTCTATTATATGTTTTTGCTCACAAAATCATATTTGACATAATAAATAAAAGAAATGAAAGTTTTTTGATGAAATATTGCATAGTATAGATAAAATATGGCACAGATTTCCATTGAAATGTACCTGATATACCTAGAAAAGTCAGGGAATTTTTTTCTTCTGAAAATGAGTGGGAACCCTGTGAAATTTATTTTACTCAGTAATGAAAATTTGGCTGGGTTATTGCTGGGTACCTGGGCTATTTAGAGAAAATTGTATAAAAACTCTTATCCCTTTTGGAAGGAATTTACCCTATGGTCTTGGATGCTAAGCAGCAAATTATATGAGTAGAAATTTCCCTGCATATGGTAGAATTGCATTTTCCAACTGTAAGATAATATTGAATGTATATATATCTAAACAACATTGAAAATCATTTAAGATAAACGGTATTCTGTCTTTGTTAATCTGGTTCTGGTGACATTAATCTCTGTATATTGTCTCCTAGCTAAACACATAAAGCTATTATAAAGAATGATATAAATTTTTATTTCAAATGTGTGAATTTATTTTTTATAATTTGAACTATAATAAACCATGCATTAGTTTTAATTCATATTTTTCAGGCAAAAATATTTTTGGATAAAGTAATTTTTTATTTGAAATAGATTATTTGACAAACCTTGTAATAACAAACATAATTCTTATGATCAATCAGTTCAGATGAATCATATGAATATTAAATATAAAATATTAAAAGAGAATTGCAATTTTAGTTTTATTTCAAATTGAAATAAGAACATATAAGAATACAAAAAATTTTGAATTCATCACCAGACGTTATTCTTCATTTATCTAAGTTTTTTAACACAATTTTTTAATGTAAATTTCAATTGAATTTTAAATAAAATTGAATCATCTATCCTTACCCCATAATGTGGCTATTATTACCCTATAATATTACACCATATTTATAGTCTTCACAAGCATGATATATTTTAAATAATTAATATTCTTTTTTTTTGTAATATTTTTACAGGACCTGATAATGATAAAGATATGCGAGATTTTGTGCGAATGAGATTTGAGGAAAAGTTAAGGGATGGTTCTATTTCAGAAAAGGACATCCGTTATGATTTTGCTGCATTTGAAAAATATAGCAAGGTATAAGTTTCATTTAACTTTTTTTTTTTAGCTTTTGTTTTTGTTTTTTAATGTTCTTTATATATTTCAATTTTCATCTACAGGGTTTTGGCCGGAAAATTATGGAATCTCAAGGCTGGAAACAAGGTCATGGAATTGGCAAAAATGCTGGAATAACTGAACCTCTTCCGAATGAAGGTCAGCTTCCTGCTGATAAAAAGGGATTTGGGTAACTATTTTTTCATCTCTAATTTTTATTTATTTTTATTAATTTTCGCCTTAGCAATAGCAGCTGATACTTTCCTTATTTAAACAAAATTTATTATCCAAGCCAAAGATCCAGAAATTTTTTTTAAAGACCAAATTGCTAATTATATGTCTTAGGTGGAAGATAAAATTCTAGATCTTAACTCGATTTTCAGTTAATAGTATATACTATTTTATTTCATAACTGGTGTTGAACAGCAGACCCAATTCTGGGTTTGCAACTACCAATGTTAAACTCTGTATCCCTGTAATTTTGAACCCAATCCAGATGACAAGGGAACCCCTAGATCAAGTGTTGGGAAAAATTTGCCTTTATAGAGGACTTTCTGATGGAACTAACCTGCATTTGCATTACATGGAAAGGAAAAACCACAAAAACCTCCCACGGTTAGCCGACAGTAAGAGGATTCTAACCCATGATCCATCTACCGCTGAAGATATTTTATGTCAGCAATTTTCGGTGGGTGTGAGCTGAGTGCAGAATTTATATTGGCCAGCACTCGCTGGGATTCGAACCTGTTTCAACTCATTGGGAGGTGAATGCTCTATCTCCTGAGCCACCATGGTTGCCTTTTTTAATATTTTAACTATTTTCCAATTTTAAAGTCCATATTATGGTTTTTGATACCTAAGCCATTTTTTGTTCATTTTAAATTTCCAATAATTTTTTTCAGCCAGTTTGTACATATAGTTTAAAATTAAACCTTTGTTTCAAATTTAAGGTTCACAAATTGTGGCTTTTATTTTCCTTGCCAAATGTGTTTCAAAGAATACTCCTAAACATTTTGCTTACAAAACATTTTAAAGTGTGAAAAAGGTTATTTCTGAGTAAGATTTGTATTATTTTGCATTAAAATGTTATTATAGAAAAACTTCTTTACTACAAAAAATCTACATTTGAACATTTTAAAATAGATTTATGAGCTCATTGTGAACTATATTTTTAAAACACATAAATAGGCTCTTAGAACGAATGTGTTAGATTGGTTACAAGATCATTTTATTTTTTTTAATGTAAGTATTTAGGTTTAATCAAATTTCAGTACTGATTATTCATGTTTGTTGAATGCAGTCAAGCTTTTTAAAACTATGAAGTAAGAACCAAAATGATTTCTAATATTATGAAAGTTAAGGTATTTACAGTTTTTATACAAAACTTATTGATAAGATAAGTACATTGTCTTTCATATAACTAAACATGGGGTTTTTTTTTGTAAAATCTTAAGTTTCTTATTAATATTATTAATTGTTTCAGTTAATTGATATTTTTTGTGACACAAAAATAATTTCTTTAGATTCATTTGATTTGGATCACTGTTATGTAATAATTGGAACAATTCTCTATAAGTATCCTACTAAATAAATTCAAAACAGAATGATCACTTATGAAAAATTAACATTTAATTTTTTTTATTATTATTTTTTAGTTATCGAGGTGTTAAACTAGATATGGCTCCTAAAAAGAAAAAGAGAAGGTGTCGAAGTAAATATACAGATGAATCTGAATCTGAACATTACCATATATCTACCATCTATGATAATCCAAGAATATCGGATCCCCCAGAATCTGTTCTTGTATCATCAGCATTTTCAAGTTTAAAGTATAGACAAAATTTTCTCAAAGAGGAGAGCAAAGACAGTTGATGTCAAAATCGTAATATGTTTTTGTTCTATATTTTTTAATGTAAATTATGTACATTGGGTTTTATAAATTCAGGAAACAATTTTATTGCAGAATATGTGTTTTATTTACACTTTAAGAACATAAATACAAATTTTTATTATTTTAGACTACAACAAATGTGAACACTTAAGTTGAAATTGTATGATTTAAGTATTTAAAACATGGAGAGTTATCTAAAAAAATTCATTTGAAATTAAACCTTTTACAGATATGTAAGAAAGAGCAGAAATAGCACATTTCTATATCATACATTTATTTTAAAGAAATTTTTATAAATGTTAAATTTTAAATAACCTTATTTTGAACTAAAACCTATGTGTATCATATACTCTATGTAAAAGAAATAGGCATATTTTTTTAAACATTTAATTTTGCTAAGAAAATATCAAGTGGTGATTTACCTCCATTGCATTTTTGTTCAATTTTCAGAATAAGTGTTAATCTCAAAAGTGGTAAGGGAAAATAGTGAAAGTTGTAGTGGTTGTTTCTATACAAATAACATTGACCTGCCTGTATTTTTTTCACATAGAGTACACAGAAACTTATTGCTTTAAAAAATTTTACATCTACTTGAAATTATTTCCACACAAATATGACAGGAACATCTTTTGACTAGTAACAATGCATAAGCTTAAAACAAGTTTTCTTTACATAGATTCATTTAAATTTTTTGATCACAGATTTCTTCTTTTCCAATTACAAAAATTTAAGCTATATAAACAAACTTTTTAACCTTAAAATGCATAGGTTAGCCTTAATAATTTTTATTGAGCAGGGCAAACAATTTTCTGAAAAAAATGTTTCTACATTGACATTACTTGTATTCAAATATATTGTTTCTTTTAAACAATAGGTAAAGGTAAAATTGACTCAGCCATCAAATATTTATAACATTTATAGAATATGTTACATTTCAACTTTATGCGCCATAAATTTTAAAAATTAAATTGTTTTGTATTTTAACATTTATTATAAAATAAGTATGCTTTATAATAGCTTTTTATGATTCATACTAAGTACCTGATACCTAATTGTATATTAATGCAACAAAATGCTCTTTTACATTTAAATCAAAAATCAACTTTTGTTTCTTTATTAGAAGACAATTGACTGTAAATTAGTTAATTCTTAATTATATGAATTGGATATTACAAGAACTCATAAAAGTTATGGGTAATTATTTCATGATAAAACTTCATGCACTTTTTCTTTTACCAGAAAAATATTTTAGTTATTCTTCTAAAAAAGAAAGTAGCTCAAATCTGGACGGTGAAATTACAACAAAAGTATTTTTAATAATTCTTATCACAACTTTTACTGAAAATAAATTTATTTATATTATTTTTATTTCTGAGCTTAAAAAGTTTCTTTTAGATTCTTTTTTTTATTATTATTATTCTTGATAATTTATAGTAACGTTTTGTTTAACAATATTAATAAACAATAAAATTTGTATAATCTTTTCAAATATTGTACACATAGACAAAAATAGGCTACAAAGTATTTCATTGTATAAAAAGTAGTAAGTGACATAGAAGCAATGATTGTGGGTGTGAGTATTCTACAATTTTTATAAATAAATTTCCAGTCGTTTAAAAGAAACATATTTCTGTAAATTGCTGACATTTATATTACAAGCAAATATTTACATTTTATACATAATTTACATAATGAGAACCAGCTGACTAAGCAGAAATACATACATTATATATGACTAGGTGACAATGCTGTATTTTGTTTTAAAAAAATATCAACAGTCAGGAATGGGTGTATAAAAAATTAAATAATGAGGATAGTTAATCGGTGCTGACATTTACACAATGGAAAATCCTCTAATTATATTTGTAGTAGCACAAAGCTAACAGCATAGATTTTCACAGTGACATTACAGCATGATCATGAAGGTGAAAGAAGCATTACTTTTTAATAATGCCAATATACAGGTCTTATAATACAAAATGAAACAAGAAAATTATACCCTTTGATTTTCTAGTATTATTGCCTCAATCCTTCAGAAGCCCTGTTATCACTAGACTTGTCCATTGCTGCTCGCAATTCTTGACTTTGCCCAGAAAGAGGAAAAGAAGTTGTTCTTTTTGCCGATCTGCGCTGTCGTATAGTAGAGCCCGTTTGCCCCGGCAATCCAAAACACCCACGAAACAATATCATTCGTGCATTTCCCTGCGCTGGTCTGGAAGATCCTGGAGACTTCAAATCAGAAAGATGAGCAGCATAACCATCAACTAATACCTGTTATAACATAAGTGTTAATACGTATTTTCTTTTTTAATTAAAACATGTAAATATTTTAAAATACAAGAGTGAAATCTATATAACCTTTTGCAGAATTAAAACAGAAGCTTTTATATGATAGTACAGATGTATTCTTGAAGGGAGAGAAAATAATATTTAGTTTGTATTAATATTTCACTAATAGAAGTTAGTAAATTTAGAGAAATTTCTGTTTATTTTTTTATTCAGTTACCCAGTAGCAAGGGGTGATGTGAGTAATCACTTTTTACATAGGAATGATCATAAATAGTGTCCAGCTTCAAAAAACTTTCTTTTTTTTCCGCAGAGCAGTGTAATCAATTAATGACACAGTTAGTTCTTCAAATCAAAAAATCGAGTCTAAAATATATTTAATGAATTCATTTAACTGTTTATAATCAATCTTATGGAGTGGGAATAATTTACCAGGTTTCTCTGAGTCAAAAAAGAATTATTAATTGAAGAAACAGCAATTAAAAATGTAAAAGAAAAGTAATTCTGATTAACAAAAAATTTTTTCCTTTAATTTAGGGGTGCACAACCTATGTCCTGCGGGCCACATGCGGCCCGCCGACTGTTGATGTGCAGCCCGTGAGAACTTCTGAAGGCAATAAAAATTTCTTTTACTTTGGTTTTGTTTAAACATTATAAATTTTCATTTATTAAAATATTTAATTCAAATTTATATTACTTTTATTAAATACATATTTTTTTTCTTTTTTTTTGCACTTTCTTTTGTTAGAATTTATATCACCCCTCCCATTGTATATATGTATATACAATGTATATATATATAAAATAGAAAAAGTTTTTTTTAAAAAATGCATCAGTTTCTTTAGTTTTAAATAAATTCAAATAATTAAAAGTATTTAATTTTGTGCAAATATGTTATTAAGTTTACTGATAAAAACATCTGATGCTTAGAACACTAACGTTTAGATAAAAATCATCATATTTTCCGCTAACATGACTAAATATGCATGCGGCCCTTCATTAATCTATGTGCTGTGCAAGTGGCCCCTCACTCAAAAAAGTTGTGTGCACCCCTACTTTAATTAAAAATTGTCTGGAGAATTGTATTTTTCCATAGTCAATTAATAGTATTTTTTCTTCAGTACCTTAAAGCTTACTTTGTGTTTGTGTCACTTTCAAAACTAATTCATTTACAAGAACTAAAATTAAGGAGATAGTAAAAATCATGTTCTACCTTAGCTGCTTGATGCTGCTTCTTTGAAGCTTTTCCAACAACATAAATTTGCTCCGGTTTCAAGCCCACAGAACCGTACATAGATATATCTTTACTCGAGCCATAGCCACAATGAACAACTATTTCTGACTGTGAAGTGAAATATTATGTGTGTATTTAAAATAGCACAAAAAAGAATACAAACATGAAAAGATTTTTTTAATGAGCATTTAACTGTAGTTTATATAATTTTATAACTTACATCATTTTGAAGGTGTCTAATATAATCTGCTTTGTGTCCAAGCGGATCTCTGGTTATGCCATCTGCAAAGTATACTAAACCCAAGGGAAAGTTATGCTGAGATAGCCAAGACATCACACGACGTTGCTGCATATCTGGACGACCAGTAATGTAAATAATTAAGTAACCAAGATCTTGCCAATGCCTAAATATAATATTTTTAAATTAATCGACAGAGAAGGAAGTAAATTTACATTTAATAAAATTTTGAATAGATAACAGATGGCTAATAGTTTGGATATTTAGAATTATCCTCATTAAGAAATATATAAAAATATCTTTGTTATCTAGCCACAAATTAACAATATGAGACCATTTAGTCCCTATGCAAAATGTACATAAAATTCAAGTAATTTCTTATCTAACAAAATATGGCATCTATAAATGAATTGCAGCTCACTATGTAAAAAATCATCTAAATTTATTGAAGTTAAATAAAGCTTTGTTTTTTTTCTTTTCACAAACATTTGTTAAACATGTGTAAATACATATTAAATGAATTTATATTCATAAAAAAAAATTCCTCATCCTTCAAATTTTTATTTATTTACTTTTTATTGCTTTTTTATTATTATTTTTGTTTATTTGAATAGCAGGGATTATTGTATTCCAGGGCTACCCTGGAATTCTGGATTTTTCGTATCTTTCTTCCGGGTCTAAATACTAGAAGCAGACAATTTTTGCGTAAATAAAAAATAATTCCGCATATCTCAAGACCATTGGTTCACAGACTACCACAAATTAAAAACTTATAATTCGACAAAATTTTGAAGCTTTTTCTAAATCCTGTTAACAAGAAGTTTACACACATTCTTTCGCCAATTACCTGTCTTACATGATTCTTCTGTTTAGGCTATTTTTTGCCATTTTGAATATTTGGAACTGTGCCAGAATCTGCTAAAATCGTAGTTCTTAGTCATGCGATTTCAATATCAAACATAGCATTTCGTATTTACCTGGTTTTAAAGCTATGCGTTTCGATTTGTATTCACACGTTTTTGAAACCCTGTCTTGATTCGTATTCGCACATCTTTAAAATCCAATATTGCGATTCATATTCACACGTCTTTAAAATCCAATATTGCGATTCATATTCACGCATTTGTAATATAAAACATCGATTTTCATATTTATACGTGATTTACAAAACTACGCATTGCAATTCGTATTCACGTGATCTAAAAATTTTGCGCTGTGATTCATATTCACATGCTTTTTAAGTTCAATATTGCGATTTCTATTAAGTTTTTCTTAAATTAGTTATTCTAAAAGTGTGATGTTCTGCATTAGTAGGTAATTTAATTATGTTAACTATGAAACAAGTATGGTATATAAATTAATACAGATTTTTTTTTTTACATAAAATTTTCAGGGATTTTTCCTTTTTGTGTCACAATCACCCATGGAATAAGTTTTTTAGTGGAGTTTAAATATTTGTTGTCTTATAAAAGGTTATTACTCCTTTCTTCTCCAGTTTTATAATTCATAAACATGAATCTTACAAAGTAGGAATTTTTCACTTATTATTTTTCATGCCAATCTAGTTGGAAAAGTTAGGATATTTTTTCCAATTAAATGTAATCTATGACATATGAAACTAAAGTTACAATATACCTCACAACATCAACAGCTCCAGCTCTCACTTTAGGATCTCTACCTGTTACGGACACACTTGCAGTAAAAGAACCATCAATACTAAATATAACACACTCAGTTTTAGGAGGAATTACTGTTAAGAAAAAATCCAAGGAAGTGTGGTCACCACTGTATAAAGAGACAAATTTTTTGTATGAGTTTCTCCTCCCTACTATAAAAATTATTTACTTAACTGTAAATATGAATTTCTATAAAATTAGTATACAGATGTATAATAACATTTTATTAAAGGTGTTCCATCATGACCGCCCTTAATATATATTTTTAGCATTTATGTTAGAAGTGAAAAAAAAAGTATGCACATTAAAAGTCAGGGAGGAAAATGCAATCACAATCTAACGAATCATTCTTAAGGAGGGCAAGGCAAGAGTGGAAACATCAAAACATATTTGGTTACAAGGTTTGCTTTTTTTTTAAAGGTAATTTTTGGACACCTAATATTTTTTATATTGCTTTACTTCTCTAGTGATTTGACAGATTTTGATAGCATTTTTGTTTTTTTCACATTGAAATATAAATTTGTGAATGTTTGCTTGTCTGATTTCTGAGCAAAATTCTAAAAATTGATATTGAAAACAGTCATTACACACACAACAAGTACTCAACGAGATATAAAAATTTTGCAACTTCAAAGATTGCCCTTTAAATGAAATTTTAAAAATTATAACATTAAATATTCAATGTGATCATTTAAATAAAACAATTTTCACTATGCATAAGCAAAAGAAAAACTTTTTTTTTCTCTATATAGTGTAGTAACAAATAGTAAGAAAAGTACGAAAAAATTCTATTTTAATATTAAAAAGTTGTATTAAGCAATATTTTCCATTATACTTCTAAAGGAGTAAGAATGATAATACTAAAATAGAATTAACAAAAACTTTTAATTCTATGTCTACATCTTATGATTTTTTATGATATTCAATTGGCCTCTTAAATTTTCTTTATATAAAAAGATGCTTATGAATTTTAAAACAAGTAATATCTTTTGCATGAGTTATATTATCTACCTGTTCATGTTCAATATTTTATTTAATAAAAATACAAGATAAACAAAGCAGTAAAACTATTTTTACATACCGGACAACTAATTTCACCGGGTGCATGCCAAAGCCTAAAGCTTTTTCTTTTGGTACAGTATATGATAATCTGCCATTTTTGTCAGTTACTTCAGTTGAGAAATAGGTCCACTCACCACGACGTTGATCTTTCATGAGATGAATATCCACCTAACAATGATTAATATAATAAAAATCTTGGGTGAATTTTTGCAGCAAAAATACCATTTCAAGGGAATGAGCATTACAGTTAAATAACACATTTAAACAAGTAATAAACTTTCAGTTGCTCAGTAACCTTTTCCTTCTTGTTCTATCTCTTTTCCACAAAGCATAAGTTTTACATGTGTTTTTTTGTAGAATGGTAGTATATACTGTTTTAGATATAATCATATTTAGATATAATTATTTACATACAAGTTTAATAAGAAATGCAAGAAATATATAAAAACAGAATAATTAAAAAAAAAAATAGGTTTGTTCGTAAAACAATCTATTTGTAATTTAGTTATAGTATCCATGGCTAAAATGTTTAACTTACAGTTTTGTAAGAAATACTGTGTTAAGGTTAGTTTTAATGGGTAATTATACTCTGAGCAAATCTTACTTTTAAGAATTGTATATAATATGTGTAATGTATTAAAAGAGAAAGCAACAAACACGGATACTAATCATAAGAATAGTAGTAATCGTGAAGAATTCAATGAAAAAACATTAAAATCCTTTACATTTATGTTGTAAAAATCTGTTTTGATGGAAAATAACAAAGTAACTAGCTTGGCTCACGTAATTATAGTTTCAAAGTGACAGTTTCAAAGTTTTGTTGTTTCAAAGTTCTTAATATTTCTGCTTCTTTTATTTGCCCAGTTAAATTTTTTTTTAAATGTATGTGAATTTTAAAAAAAATTTAAGCTATGAACAGTGTTTTATATTAGGCAATTGTTTCGTAAATGTACTATATTTTTATTAAGTACCTCATGAATTATTTTTAATTTTAAAAAGTAGCCAATTTGACAATAAAAAGTGCATTTTGTTTGCTAACAGAATATTATGTAAAAAGCTGTTGTAGCCTTGGTACAGCTTTAAGGTTAGCTCTGTTGCAAGCATAGTATAGACATTACTCCATCGTTCTGCAACATCAAGAGCATCATAACTTATAACAGATATGTTCTTAACAATTTGAATAATCTAAAGAGCAAAACAATATCCTACCCTTTCGCCTGCTAATGTAACCATATCTAGCGGCCCATACATGAAGCGTCCACTTATGGTTTGAGGTGATCCTTCTTTTACAATAACATCATTAGCTCTGTGGTTAGCAGTGACATTCTGAAAGTAAGATTTCCAAGATCAGTTTTATATATTATTTTAAGAGAGTATAACACTATTTTAAATGTATGTTAATATTGTTTACCATATTTTGTCAACATGACTTAAAATAATTATTTTTAGATACACATTTGTAAACCATTGAGAATAATTTATTATTATTATTGTTTTGATATACTTGTGTCTATTTCTAAAACTCTTGATTTAAAATTGGTTTTAGGCAAATGCAAAAATATGTCAGAATTTGGTTAATTAAAATTTCATACATGTTTTCATAAACTTTATTTAAAACCCTAGTTAGAGGATTTTAAAATTTTTCTTGTTTTCTTTGAATTTTGTAGGCTAAAATAAAAGAGATTCACTACGAATAAAAAAGATACTTAGTATAAACTGAATTTTAAAAAAATTCATTTCAGTTATTTTCCATATAAGATCTTGTTGAACTAAATCAACTGAAACTTTTTAGTTTCTAAGAAAAGAAATTATAATAAAATTAAAAATCATAACTAGAAATGTTAGAAATTACTTTGTTCTATGAACAGTAAAATAATTTTATTAGAAAATAATGCTTAACGGTTAGTCATAAAAATCCCAATACTCTTAAATCAATTTATTTTTTAAAGCTAAAATTAATTTAATTAAATACATTAAATAAATTATCCATGACTTACTAAAGAATTAACATGACTGTTTTAATAAGCAACTATCTATAAAATTTAGAATAAAAAATTTAACTGAATCTTGTTTTACTTTTTTTTAAATTATAATAAAGCTATTTTAGAAAAGCAAAAGAAAAAATTTCAATCAAATTTGAGAATAAAAAAGAATAACTATAAATATTTATTAATATCAGCTTCATGCCAGAAATTAAATTTATCAAATCAACACATTATACAATAGTCAGTAAATTTAAATAATCAAATTAAAACAAGTAGTTATACTTTAAGCTTCACTGATGTCCTCTTCTTCAGCCATTTTTCACGAGGTTGAGTTGGGATAAAAGCAGCTACTTCTTTCTCAGACTCCCCCGGAATAGATAGGCCATCAGAACGCATAAGCTAATAACAATTTTACTTATTTAATTATTCAGAGCACATATTAAAATAAATAATAATAATATGTTCATATTTTTAGTAATTATAAAATATATTATAAATTATATTTGATTGAATTAAAGGCTTATTAAAAATTAGTACACTGTGTTTTATTAACAAAAGCACTTGAATTTATTTTAAAAACTTTTAGTGAAAATATTATTGCTAATATGAGATTTAAACTTTACTCAAACTCAAAGGCAAAGAGAAAACACAGATCACATCACTTAAAATAAAGGTGCACAACATTTTTCAGAAGAGGTTTACGAGAAAAAAACTATTTTGTAATGATTTTAATATTTATATAAATTGATTATGATTAAATTATTTTATAGTAGGATATAACAAAAACGATATTAATGTCTCTGAAATTTCACTCTTTCTCTTTTTAAATACATGTTGATTTTCACTAGATTTCAGCTTTTTCTGTAGAAAATTAATTTTATAATTTTTTCACTGTACCTACATCTTTAATTTTTTAAACAAACTGTTAAATTGCATTTATTTTGAACATGCTTTTGCTAAATAAAATAACGAAATTTTCATCCTATAAAAATATATTAATGTCTAAAAATGATGAGTGCCCTTATAATTTAGAATTCTAATATTTTAATTTCATTAGTTTATTGAAATTAGTTTGATAAACGTTTATAAATTTTTTTTATTTATTATGTAGATTTTTTAAACTAATTTAATTTTTAAAATTTAGTTAGTTTTGAGACTGGAGACTGCACATTAGCTATTCAAGGGGCTTCAAGCTGCATTATTGAGTCCAAACAAAATATTACTGATACAAAAGTAACAAGGAAGATTGACAAAATAAATTGCAAAAAATATATTTGTTACTACTGTAGTTTTTCTACTTTCTCATATGTCTAATTTTCATTCATTAAACAAAAATTTTAAGTCTAGCATTCATAGTTAATAATAAAACACATATTCTAAAATAAAGATTTTATCAGAAGGTTTGTTTTTGCTATTAAGTCGACACAGGCAAATGAGTTTATAGATAAGATTTTCTAACCAACATTTGACCAAGCATAAACATACAAAATTTGATGAGAATGTATAAAATCAGAAATTCTACTAATGAATGTTCCAAATATTTTAAACCAGTTTTCTACTTCCAGCTTAATTCTTTAAATTATATTTATTGAATTAAGTCAAACAAGAAAAGGAAGTTCTAAAAAGACAAGATTGGAGCCTAGTCTTTATTACATATACTTTGATTTCAAGGTTCATTAATTCAGCAAAAATGTTACACATTATCTATATGTAGATATTTCTCTTTAATGGCACCATAAACTCGGGTATTTCTCTATTTATTGACAATACTTTAGTTATTATTCATATTTTTAAGTTGACTCTAAGAAATAATTTAAGTAGTGTTAAAATATTTGTTATATGTTAATATTCATTTAGATTCATTATGCTAGGCTATCTTTAATAATTTAAGTAGAGTTTAGTTATTTTTGCATTAAGTATTTTTTTAGAATAATTTTGTATTTTTATAGAAATAAAAACTTAGTTATGAAGTAATTATTTAGATTTTTTTTTTTTTTGATACTTCCTAAAATGGCTGTAGAAACTTTGAATATAAATAGTGCTCTAGTGCCTCATACTGTTATACCAATCATTAGTGATAGAGCTTGTCTTTTTTAAGCAATAGTATATATATGAGTTGTGGTGGCTCAGGGGAGATATCGCTCGCCTCCCTATGAGGTGACCCGGGTTTGAATCTTAGTGATGGCAAGGATTCGAATTCTGACCCTGCTCGAGCCAACCACAGTGCTGACTAAAATATCCACATTAGTAGACGGTTAGAGTCTCCTTGCTATCAGACTAACCATTGTGAGGTTTTTGCGGTTTTCCTTACTATGTAATGCAAATGCAAGTTAGTTCCATCACAAAGTCTCCCACAAATGCAAATTTCATCAAATACTTGGTTCAGGAGTTCCCTTGTCTGCTGGATTTTGTTCAATTACAAGGATTCAGATCACACTGATAGTCGTAAACTCTCAATTGGGTTGGCTGTTCAACGAAGGTTATAAAATAGTATATATATCAAATGATACTGAAGTTATGGCTCGATAGTGCCTGGGGAAGTAGTACAGAATGTAAAAGAGCATTGGGATGAATTTTCTCTCTTATCTCACGACAGGGATGGAAATAATTTTAATACTTCTGCTGCCTACTATGCTGAAATTTCTCAAACTCATATTTGCTGTGATTTGTGTGATTTAGTGGCTGCTGGATAGATTTTTAATTATTACTAAAATTCAATACCTAATGAACTTTGACGATATCAGAGACATCTCTTAAATAGTTAAAATCGAAATCAAAGTACTTTCACGAGAAAAAAGCTGCAGGTAATAACTACATGGTGAAAAAAAAATTTTATATATAATTAAAATTAATTAAGGTGTTAAAATTGGAGGAGGGGTTGAAGAATTAGAAAATTCAAATGCAGTTTTGCTATGCATTCTGCTTGGTTACCAATAAAGTTTACATGTTGTAAAATATAGTTTTAAAAGATGACCAAACTTGTTGCCCAAGTTGGCTAATTTATTTATATTATTTCTTAGTTATATATTATTATTATTTACCTTATTAAATATAATAATATCTTGTTATCAATACATTAGTTAACTAGTATAATGTAAGAATGTTTTAATGATTCAAAAATTTAGCTTATTTGATTTTATTATGAAATTGCGAGACTCAATTTATTAATAAAATTTTTAATAGATTGAAGCAAATCTATCTAAGAATAAAAATTATTTGTCTGTTATTTTAGAATAAATATAACGAAATATGAAAGCTTTTTTTAGAAACAACTTATATTTTAAAATAAAAATTATTGCAAAAAGTATAAAAAACCCAAAATTATTCATCATTATAAATAAGAAAGTTTTAGAGATGGTCTAACTACTCATTGAGAAATAATATATGTTCTGTATTTATTTATGCATAGAATAATTTACCTGTCTTAAAATAAAAGCTATCACATCATTAGACTCCCAGTAGCTGGCATGAAATAAATGTGGAAGTGCATTGGTTGGAAAATTTGACAGACCTTCTGGACAATAGAGAGCATAGTCTGTTCTTTTTGAACCCCACCATCTTTGAGTTACTATAAAAAAAAATTTAAAAAATATAGTAATCGATTTAACATTAAAATAAAGTACAAACAAAACCAGCAAGAATAAAAAAGAAACTAAACTTTGTTAATTACTAAATAAATATATTTAAAATACTTTAAGTAAAGTGTAAAATAAATATAGTCTTTTATATTTACGTGCTATTTAGGCATCGTTCGTTTTCTATAAATTTTGTCTAATTTAAAAAAAGCACAATGGTTGGTTCAGATACTGACCTCTCATTGGGAAAGGTCAGGACTATACCATGTGGTGGCTTAAAGACTACAAATCGATGGATACCAGCTTGTCTGGGACATAAACACATTCAATGCGCGATACAATACTGCTTACATTGCCATCACCATGCCAATGGTAACAAAATTGTGCAGCCTTAATCTTCTTTACACCTCCTTGAACAACAACTAACTTTTCTGGGAGTGCTTTATTTTAATTTAAAAAACTATAATTAAAATCATGAATGCTGACTTATAAATCAATAAAGTCTCTTTAAAATACAAACTATGATTAATTTGATTGAAGAATTCTGGAATAAGATACATACATGAAGCAACTGTTGTAATTGGTACCATATCAATCATTCCTGACATTGTGCTTACAATGCTGGCTTCACTTGTTCGCCTAACAGCATGATTTTCCATGAAAAGATGAGGGTAAGATTGAATGTATTCCACTAAATTAAAAACAAAGTAATGAAAATTAGAAATTTAAAGAAGGAAAAAAAACAGAATAAGGTGTGGTTTAAGTATTATGTTTATTTGAATACTATTTTAGTTTAAATAAAGTAATGAAACTTACATAAATGTAAAGGCTGACCATCTCCTAATGGATATTTTTGATATCTAGGTACATTTATCGGGGACAACTGAGCAAATCGTGCACTGAGCAGGGGTTCAATACGAGAAGCACATGGATTTGTAGGATGAAACAAATTATAAACTTGATTGCAGGACGGTCTTAAAGGAGGACCTAAAATGATATATAAATATAAATAATTCAAACAAATACAGAAAATGCTTATGAAAGTTTAGTGAACCAACAAATAAAAACTTGTTTATGAAAAACCTAGTAAACAGAAAGCCTAATCCATCGAAAAAAGGGTACGTTTATTCAGAGAAAGTACGTTTTTTGGATTTCATACTATGTACTAATTAAGTAGCACATTTCAGATTACCCCTTCTAACCATTATGATTGAGACCTAGAATGTAAAGATCCGATCATTAGATCAAAAGTTATTCAGGGTGTGTTTTTGGAGGACTGTACCTGTGTGTGAGAAAGACACCAATAAATGGTAGAACATCCTGAATATAATTTTCAAATACAGAGTTATACCTTTAATTCCTGCTGCGATGAATCATTTTCCACCAAAATCTTTAAATAACATAATTTGCATAATTTCAATTTACGTACTATGATGATTTATCTTCGTAAAAACAATCACCATATCGAATGAAGACTATAAAAAATGCTTCAAAGAAATCAATCATTTGGCCAGTTGCTTACCAATACTTAAAAATGTGTGTTTTTCTATAATCTATCATATACAATACTATCTATACAATGCTATATATTTTAATACAATCTATAAATTCATACTAAATTTATATACATATAATAAAATAATCTACTTATTTTGTAATTATTTGTCTTGCAAGAAATTAGAATCCTGCCAAATTGGAAAGAAACAATTTGCTTAAAATAAAAGTGTAGATGTGGCAGTACAAAAACCTCTCTATTATATTTTATAAATACAGTAGAAGTCTGTTAAAACGACAATTCAGAATAATTGATGGAGTTGTAAAAGCGAGGTAGTCGTTATAAACAAACACGAATTTTTTAAGACAAAATGGAAGCAAGAAAGATTTGAGTAGGATAGTGAGAAGAGCTTTTTACGTCATTGATAAAGCCAAATTCTTGAATAAAATTTTAACTTCAGCATTACAATTTTTTTTAAATATTGATACTAGATTAGAAATCTATAAAACACAAGTCACTTATTTAATTTTATAGCTATAAATCATTGAATCTAAAATTAAAACACATTTCCATACAAATGTATTTCTTAATATAATTTAAAACAGGACTACATACAATTTAGAGCCACCATTTAAGAAGAAAAAAAATAGGAACTGTTTCAAAAAGTTCCCATCAAAGACAAAGAATAAACATATCTTACTATTTTTGTCATCAAAGGTGAGCATTTTTCTGTAAGCAAGAACTGTACCCAAAGGACTGCCAAACATGAAGAAATCACTAACTTCGAAATCTAATTTGAGATTAGAATTAGGGTCGTTGGAGGCTGAACTATGTCGTCTTGTGTTGGGTGCAGACAGTAAACGATTTACTCTGAAATAGTTTTCAATAAAAACAATTTAAAATTTACCAATTTAAAACATAATAATATATAACACAAAAATTTCCCTATTTAAATGAATAAAGATTATGAGTTTGAGTTTATTCTGTATATCTAGTTCTAATGTATAATTCTTATCCACAGTG